CATAACCCCCCCTTTTTGTCCCCATATTCCTCTCTATATCCCCCCTCTCACACACAGGTACCAGTTCAACCCCGCCTTCTTCCAGACCACGGTGACAGCGCAGATCCTGCTCAAGGCCCTCACCAACCTCCCCCACACCGACTTCACCCTTTGCAAGTGCATGATCGACCAGGCCCACGTATCCTCTCACTTCAGGGGGTTGGGTTTAAAGGCTGGGTGGGGGGCTTAGGAGCTGGCTGTGATTGCTGAGCTGAGCCCAAACCCGTGTGTGTGTGTGGGGTGGTGGTTTTAAACATGGGGAATGGTTTTAAAGTGAGACAGGGGAGGTTTAGGTTGGATATTAGAAGGAAGTTTTTCACCCAGAGGGTGGTGAGGCGTTGGAAGAGGTTGTCTATAGAGGTTGTGGATGCACCTGGAGGCATTCAAGGCCAGGCTGGATGTGACTCTGGGCATCCTGGGCTGCTGGTTGGTGACCCTGCACATAGCAGGGGGTTGAAATGAGATGAGCGTTGTGCTCCTTTTCAATCCAGGCCGTTCTATGAGTCTATGGGGGTCCCTATGGGGGGGATCTGTGGGTCCCTGTGTGTCTCTTGGCAGCCCTGCACACGGCAGGGGGGTGGAATTGGATGAGCATCGTGGTGCTTTTCAATCCAGGCCGTTCTATGAATCTATGGGGGTCCCTATGGGGGGATCTGTGGGTCCCTGTATGTCACCATTGGGTACCCTAACACAGCCATGGTGGTGGTGGTGCTTTGTCCCACTTTTAGCCCCATCCCTGCTACGTGGGGTTTGGAATGGATGCCCCATCCATCACCAGCAGGGATTTGGTGTGTGCCATCCCCCCCCCCCAAAGGATGGCAGAGGTGGGGGATTTGAGGTGGGCTCATTTGTAGGGTTTTTTTTTTTCTCCCTTGACACCCATGGCAGCAGGAGGAACGGCCCATCCGGCAGATCCTTTACCTGGGGGAGCTGCTGGAGACTTGTCATTTCCAATCGTTCTGGGTGAGTCTTCCAGG